ATACACCGCCATTGCCGAACCAATCGACCAGCTGTATGAAAGGCTTAAAGCTGCTGGTTGCGTCACCCCTATCCCTGCCATAACCCCAGAAAATCCTTCCCAATGGGTCAACCCAAACAAAACCTATGCATACCATTCCGGCATGAAGGGGCATACCATTGATGAATGCCGCTCTCTGAAGGATAAGATCCAGGCGTTGATTGACAACAAGATCATCGTGGCAAAGGAGCCTGCTCCGAATGTCCGTAACAACCCTCTACCGGACCACAAGGGTGGCGATGTTCACATGATTGAGATAGAAGATGATTGGGACCCCAAAGGATCGATCGGATTGATCGCTGAAGGTGACGAGCCAAAGAAACCAACAGTCACACTTAATCCGATTGTCGTCCAGATCCAACCTTCTGGAGACGCCGAAGTGAACATGTCCATACCACTTAATCTTGAAACACCATCTTCTGCAAAAATGCCAGGGCCGATTGAAGTCGAGTTGGGGTCCCCGAAGGCACCTACGCCATTTGAAGTTGCTGTGTTACCTTCCAAAGCAAGGGTACCCATTCCGGTAGCAATGTCGGCCATAGCACCATTCCGTACGAGGGCCATCCCTTGAGATTACACAGCCGAGGCAAGGAGAAAAGGAAAAGCCAAAACCGGAGAAGCAATTGTGGCACAAGGTATGACAAGAACCGGCAGGGTTTATACTCCGGAACACTTGGTTGAGTCGAGTAAGCAGACCTCTGGTCGACAAGCCATCACCGAAACTGGGACCGATGACCTCTGGAGAAAGATACAAGCAAAGGAATACTCAGTCATTGACCAATTGAATAAAACATCGGCACGGATCTCTATCTTAGCTCTGCTGCAAAGATCCAATGCACATAAGAATGCCTTGTTAAAAGTACTAAGTGAGGCATATGTACCGAGCAACACCACGGGAGGAGAAATGGCAAATATGGTAGGGCAGGTATTGGAGAGTCACAAAATCACTTTCCACGAAGATGAGTTGCCACCGAAAGTTTAAGCCACAACAAGGCGTTGCACATCACTGTGCAATGCGAGGATTATTTCATCACCCGGATTCTGATTGACGGAGGTCCAGCCTCAATATTTGTCCATTGGTGACTCTCAGAACATTAGGAAAGAGCCTGCATGAGATAAAGGATGGAGCCATTAGTGTCAAGGCTTTCGATGGTTCCCAAAGATCCACTATTGGGGAAATCAGTTTGTGTCTGC